AAGTTGCACAAACCAGTCTCCCATTGACCAAATGAGAGACCTAGCAAAGCGAACTAATATGTTGCCTAACCCCCAAGCCTAATTCAGATTTCCTGTAGAAACATATTACAGTTTAGAAAACATTTCAAGACTGAACAACTAAATCAGATACAGAAAGCTGCAAGTTCTAAGCAAGATCTCAGTTATTATCTTCCAATCAATCAAATCACTATTCAGATTATATGCTGCCAGCACCACCAACATTAGCTCCTAAACAGACATGTGCCTGGGAACTAGCACAACCTAGTTTTAGCTCCAGATTATATGCTGCCAGCACCACCAACATTAGCTCCTAAACAGACATGTGCCTGGGAACTAGCACAACCTAGTTTTAGCTCCAACCTGGTTATCTGACAGAATCAGTTACCCGCCAAAGACAAACTTTTCAGACAAACATTTGGTTTATTGTTACTTGCAGTATCTTCTGACAGACACCCCTTGTCCTCAGTGCACAGGCCTCAGTGCAATCAGGGTCCACAACACATAATGCATTAATGAAAACCAGCATTTCCACATTTGTTTACCAGATGATTTCACCACATTCTCATATCTGAACTATCTTCACATATAACGAACCCCTCTCTTACATCAAAAGTATATTGCAAAAGAAGGAATACAATTATATCAAGTGGGAACAGATGGAAAAGATCAAAAGTGGAGTTGAATTTGCTCTTATGTCCACTTAGATCTATAAGTTTCATATCTCTGACAATACCATCAAACTCATGGTCAAAGCATGGATTGGAACTAGGTAGAAAAATTGGTACAAGAAACTCAGACCAAATAGAGTTGTGCATGCAATGGTCAAGGTAATAAGATTTTCTTTTGCGTGACGAGAAGGAATCTTATAGAAATAATGAGAAAATTTTTCTTGAAAAAAAAAGAGAGAAGCAATCTGCTCAGTTCTTCCAAAAGAATCAATATTTAAAAACTTATGGTAACTAAATCATAAAAATCAACAAATAATACAAATGACAGAAGTTACTAACATTCATGCTACAAGGTAGGTAGAGCAAGCAGCAAAGACCCACAGCATATCCTACCTCTCAATAGAGTAGCAGAGCATGTACCTGTAAGCACCTTTAAAGCTAGGGATGTCACACAAGGTATATATGGATATAAAAGGCATAAAGACATTAACTTCAAATGAGATCAATTCATCCTTCAACTTGATATGACATAAAATAGTTACCAGAAAAGAAAATAAATACCACAGTACCTTTGAAATACTTACCCTCAAGATAATACTGTAAAAATAGATCACATGGTAAAATAAATGCTAATTGAGAAGAGAAATATAAGATAGCAAATAAGCATTTCAAGAAAATACAAATACATCTGACTTCAAAGATTCAGCAAGATATTTACAGGAAGTGATTATAACATCCGACATAAGCCAGTCACAAAGATAACCATTCAACAAAGTTATAGCCCAAAGAAATGTAAGCTTTATTTCCCAGATCTTGAAAGTAAAAAGTAAACTGTCAATTTATACTTGGAAAAGAATCATGCAATTAATTGACCAGGGGGACACAATTGTAAGGAAGCCACAAAACAGGCTAATTGGAAACTTTAATTCTCTGAAGAAATAGCCTTCTTTCCGAAACTACAATAGAGGCAAGCACTTCCGAAAAAGCTCATTGCTAAGTTACTAACATGCAGACAATTAATATGACAGTCAAAGCGGACATCTTTTACCAGTTAAAAAAAACCTAAAGGATAATATTTTTAAGAGTGATGATTGCCAGCCCAAATAGAG